GTGTAAGGCCAAGGGAGGGCTTAACCTGAAGCTTAGGAGCTAAGGGGGAGGGTCTGTGGCTTTCAGATCGGGCCCCAACCAGTGGTGAGATGTTTAGGGAGCAAACGCAGCACATGCAAAAATGATTCAGGCAGCAACGTGAGGAAAGACCAGCAAGCAAGGGTGCTTCCAGGAAAGAGAAGGCACTTAGCTGGCAGCTGAAGAAGTTGCCTCCTTCCCTCCCCTCCCCTGCTGCTTGCGCGCTCCCCTCCCCTGCTGCTTGTGCACTCCCCTCCCCTGCTGCTGCTGCTGCTGCTGCCGCCGCAACTGGTTCCAGTGAAGGTGCCACTGAGCTGCCTCTGCTGCAATGCGAGTGACCTGGAAGGGGGCATAACGGAAGGGAGGGCAGGAGGCGAGTGAGTGCAGGCCGTGGGGCAAGCAAGGGCGAAGCAGAAGCATAAGCAGCAGGAGAGGCAGCGCCAAAGACCCACAGCAACACGTGAGTGTGGCAGCACACTCACGTGAGTGAGTGTGAGCTGGAAAGAGGCTTACCTTGGAAGACTCAAGCCCAAGCCCATACTCTCCCTTGAGGCAGCGGGATTGCCATGCTGCAGTGCAGCCTCCCTCCCGTCCCCTCCCAGCGCTGCCTCCCTCCCTCCCTCCTGCACGGCCACAGGGGAGGGGCGTGGGGAAGCGTCGGTGTTGACCCCAGCGCCCCTCCCCTCCACCTGCAACGAACACACACAGAGCCTGTCAGTGTGCAATCACGGGATGAAGCTGGATTGGCAACTGTGAGTTTTAAAGGCAGCACAAGCGAGGGGAGGGGCCACTGGTGGAAACACGAACCAAAACCACAGACCTTAAAGGAAACCTGAGGGGATACCCCTGCAGTAGGGGTTGTACCTGATGGGGCTGTAAGGTCTAAGAAAGGCTTAACCTGAGGTGATTTACCAGGAGTAAAGGGAAGGTCTGTGGCTTGTGAACCGGGCCCCAACCAGTGGCAAGTGTTCAGGGATAAAACACAGAAGCCCATGCGAAAATGACTGAGTGAGCAACATGAGCAGTGAGCAGCAAGCAAGAGTGAGTCCAGGGAGGCGAAAGCACTTAGCTGGCAGCTGAAGAAGCGGTGAGAGATGCTGCCTCATGTCCCCTTCCCTCCCCTCCCCTCCCCTGCTGCACCAGTGCTCCCCACTGCTGATGCTGCTACAAATGGTCCCGTCAGCTCAGCTGTCTCTGCTGCATTGCGAGTGACCTGGAAGGGGGCAGAACGGAAGGGAAGGCCAGGAGGGGAGTGAGTGCAGGCCTTGAAACAAGCAAGAGCGAATCAGAGAGGCGAACGCGAGAGAGAAACTGAGCAGAAAACGAGTGCAGCGGGAAAGCGAGGTAAGAGGCTCACCTTGAGAGGCCAAACCCATCCCAATACTATCCCGTGTGTTGAGTCTGCTGCAGGGCTGCCTCCCTCCCCTTCCCCTCCTGAATCATGGCCCCTCCCCTCCCCTCCCCTGCTGCATCAGTGCTCCCCGTTGCTGATGCTGCCACAACTGGTCCCGCTAGCTGCCTGGAAAGGGGCAGAACGGAAGGGAAGGCCAGAAGGAGAGTGAGTGCAGGCCTTGAAACAGGCAAGGGCGAATCAAACAAATGAGCGCGAGAGGGCAACTTGGCAGAAAACGAGTGCAGCGGCAAAGAGAGGTAAGAGGCTCACCTTGAGAGGCCAAGCCCATCCCAATACTCTCCCTCATGTTGAATCTGCAGCAGTGCTGCCTCCCTCACGCCCCCACGAGTCCCTGCACGGCCACTTGGGAGGAGCGTGGGGAAGCGTCGGTGTAGACCCCACACCCCTCCCCTCCACCTGCAATGCACACAAGCAGAGGTAGTCAGTGTGCATGGCATGGGCATAACACAAGCAAGAGACCGGAAAATGCAAAATCTGGAAGAGTAAGGGAGGGCCACGGGTTGAGGCAAGGCCAAACGCCACAGACACCAAGGGAACCTGCACCTGAGAGGGCTACCTGCACACCTGAGGGGATTACCTTCACACCTGAGGGGATTACCTGAAGTGAGTGTGTCTGTGGCATGTGAACTTCACTCAACCAGTGGCATGATTTCAGAGGGAAGGGCGAAAGCACAACCAGAAAATGAAATGGCGGCAAGAAAATGTAAAAGGCATGATGCGGCAGGCAAGGGTGAGGGCATGGAGGAGAGTTACTTAACTGATGGGTGAGAGCGAGCTCAAGGCAGCTGAAGCACCACCAGCTGCCTCCCTCAATTGCAGCCCTCCTCCCAGCCCTCCCGAGTGCGTCCCTGCACGGCCACCGGGGAGGGGCGTGAGGGAGAGTCGGTGTTGACCCCACACCCCTCCCCGCCACCTGCAATGTGCACTCACAGAGCTAGTCAGAGCACGGAGGTGGGAGAAAGTTGATTGGGTAACCATGACTTCAAATCCAGCACAGGAGAAGGGAGGAGCCACTGGCGAAGGCACGACCACAAGCTACAGACCCAAGGGCACCTGAAAAAGAACCCGAGGGGTGTACCTGCACCTAAGAGGGTTACCTGCGCCTGAGGGAATTACCTGAAGCAGAGAGGTCTGTAGCATGTGAGTATTGCCCAACCAGTGGCGTTGTTTCAAGAGGACGGTGCAGCAGCAGATGAAACGAAGGAAACGGTGTGGCAGGCAAGGGTGAGGACATGGAGGAACGGGTACTTAGCTGATGGCGTGAGAGCAGGAGGCAGTTGAAGCAGCATGGGCAGCAGGCATGGCATGGCGTATCAGGCGACCAGCAGCGCTGCTCTTGAGCTCCTGCGAGGGGGGCTGGAGAGGAGAGGAGGGGAAGAGAGGGGAGGGGAGGGGAAGGGATGGGAGTGGAGGGAGAGGCAGTGAGTGGGAGGGAGTCACTACATGGAAGGGGAAGCATGCATGCAAGCGTGGTGAATAGAAGAAGAGCGAAAAGAGGGCCACTGGTGGACGCACACTCACAAGCCACAGACTACGGTCTTTACCAAAGGGCTTTACCTGGAAAAGGGCTTTACCTGGGAGAGGGTTCTACCAGTAATGGGGAGGGCCTGTGGGCTGTTTCGTGTGCTGCCACCAGTGGTTCCGTTTTGAGAGAAACGGAAATGACAGACAATCGAAGCAAGAATGGATGCATGGAGGAGCGAGCACTTAGCTGATTGTGTGGTTGTGTGCAGAGGGCAGGTGAAGCATGTGCCGGCACCACCGGGTGTTGTCTGCTGCCGCCAGTGGCTTGAGGCATGAGGAGAACGCTGATGCTGCCCCACGTCCGTCCCTCTGCCACTGCTGCTCGCGATGAGGCCTGGAAGCCGTGGGGGGGAGGGAGGGGAAGGGAGGGGAGGGGAGGGACGCACAAGGAGAGGCAGTGAGTGGGATAGAGGCACCACGGCGGAAGACAGTGCATGCAAGCGCGGAGGAATTGAAGAAGAGCGAAAGGAGGGCCACTGGAGGACGCACACTCACAAGCCACAGACTACGGTCTTTACCTGGAAAAGGCTTTACCTGGGGGAGGGCTTTACCAGTAATGGGGAGGGTCTGTGGGCTGTTTCGTGTGCTGCCACCAGTGGCCCCGTTTTGGGAGAAACTGGAATGACAAGAAAACGAACCGAGGGCTGACATGGGATGTGAGCACTTAGCTGATGATTGGTCGTCGATGCGGGCAATAGGTGAAGCCTGGGAGCCATGTACGTTGTCAAACGCAAGCCATGCTGCTTCGGGCTCCTCATGGACTCCTCCACTGCGCGTTTCTGCCATCGCGTGTTCGTCTCAGCATGGCTGATGTGCTACCGGACCTGAAAAGTAAACAGCGTAGAGATCTGTGAGATTTGAATACTTGAAACGAGTTTTATTTATAATCAACGCGCGTAAAAACGGAATGCCATTGTGAGTTCTCGATTGTACCTTGAACCACGAGCGGAATCGCGAGCTCGCAGTGGCTGGTGTGCTTGAACCCGTCGCAATTTCCGCGGACGACGCAGATCAGTCAGTTGTGGCGGAAGGCGACCTTGGATGGCGGACATTGACAGGTTTTCGGATGCTCAGCTGCCTGTAAACAAATTGAAATAACGTGGAATCAGAAATTGATCGAAATATGCAACAAAAGGTGGCTAAATCATTAAAGACATTACCTTTTCCGCGAGGGAACGTCGTGGTACTGTGGAGTTTCGTTGTTTCGGCGAACATGCTCTTTGAGGTTGGAAAATGGTCAGCTACAGCAGACATTGATGATGGACTGACGATGTTCCATTTCCTGCAGAAGAAAAATACGCACGTCAGAAACTGGCAAAAACGATGACGAATGGATAGAAAAGGCACGCTGAAGAACAGCCGAATAAGAAATTACCTATGTCAGAGCACATAGAAGCTCCGCGAAACCACCAGCGAGTCTATGAACCAATCCTCCTGATGCGCGTGAGGCTCGTTGCTAATCGCGTGTGCGAACGATATGAGACAGTTTCCCGGTCGAAGTGGCAATGTGCTTCATCTACGGCTACGTTTGAGTCGAAGAGAATCGAGCGCAGTGTTCGAATGAATGTGCGAATGTCTAAACTGACCGGTGAAAATGTCGCTCTGAGAAAACCCTGGTGAAAATGTGGCTCTTCGAAACCGCTGGTTGGAATGTCGTTCCTGCAACATTCCTGACTGAATGTCCGTGCTTGGTATTCCACAGCCAACCCCAAGTGAGTGGGGGGGACTGAGGCTGTGGACCCCAACTATCGCGGTTCGCTGGACGGCAACCGAAAAAAATAAATCCTTGTCATAATCTTGCCGCGCGGCTCCAAACCTAACAGGTTCCGAAACTGAGGTTGGCCTGGAGAGATGGCCGTTGGGACTACACCGTGGGATTGAGTGAGCTAGAATCGTCGGATGTCTTTCAAGCGGAACCGATCTATGGCTCAGATCAATTGAGTAAACGTTATCGAAGGCGGGAACAGCCAACCGACATTTCGGATCAAGGCACGGCGGTTCGTGTCAGATCCAAGCGAAGAGATGCCTGTGACGGTTTTGCGAAATGTTTGACGAAACTATTGGTGTGGTACACAGATGTCGTGTCGTTGGCGAAATGTGTGTTACACGGGCCTGCTGCTGACAGAGGGGGGGTTTCACGTTTTGTGGCTGACAGGGGTATGATTCGTCAGCGAATGGCATTTTGTGATAATCGTGTGACGTGGCCTCCTAGACCAATTGCTGGTGAGAATCCCTGGTTCGGGCCAATTTGGTCTGGTTCGGTATGAAAATGTTCTGGTTTGGGCCACATTGGACTGGTTTGGCCTGACCGGGGAGATTTGTTATGGTTTGGCCGAATCTGGTCTGGTTTGGCTCGGTGTGGCATGTTTCCAAGGTGAATCTTGGGTTTCACGACCATCGGTATTTCCATTTTGGGGCAGTTCCACAATCTACTTGAGGGTGCTGCCTAACCCAGCTGGTGGTGGTGGTGGTGGTGTGCTGGTGCCTCCTTGTCTCTTTCCCCTTGTTTTGCCCAGCCCACCAACTTCCAGGTCATCCCTTGCTTGCACAAACCAAGCAAGCCTTCCCCTGCAGCTACCATTCTCCTCTGCTCGAGCCTGGAAGGTTTGCCCACAAATGGTCTTCCAGTGAATTTGTGCAATTTACACCTTGAACATGGACTTCCACATCCTTTTCCCCAGTCCCTGCCTCCTTCAATTTGCCTGTGTTCACCTCGCTCGCCTCCTAATTGACACACGTTTGCCGGCTAGCTCGAGTGTTTCGCGTCTTTGTCATTGTAAGCACTTAGAGCGGAAAGAGTGCTGGAACCAAAAGGAGGGTCTTTATGGGCTATACAGCAGGTGCGCCACGTCAGTCTTCCACGCAAGCGCGCGGAACATCTGGCACGCGCCGCGAGCGTGCCAGAACGGGCAAGGAGTGCGCTGAATCTCCCGTGGGGCGTCACGATGACGTGTCAGCTGACAGCTACTCGGAGGATGAGCACAGCCGAACGAGTAGAGCTCCCGGTAGAGGTGGCGGGAGAGCCGGCGGCAGAGGCGCTAGCAGTAGCGGCAACGGTCGGGAGAAGGTAGCAGCAGGCAGTGGAAGGGACGGTGTAGACAGAGCGGACCGCCATGACCGACGGCCAAGTGAGAAGTGCCTGGACGAAGATAGTACTGAGAACGAGAGTAAGGACGATCCTACTGATAGCTGTACTGACGACGGCTTTAGCGAGAACGAAGAAGCCAGTGATGCCAGCGACAATGATGGCAGCGATGTTGACGGCAGCGACAATGACGGCAGCAGCAATCGCTCGTCGCCTCGAAGCAGCGACAGACGCCACACAAGGTGCGACTCGAACGGCAGCTCGCGCCGTCGCTCAGGCTCGCGGTCGCCGCGTTCCCCTGAGTCAACGCGGTCGCCGCGCTCTCCCGAATCTACGCGGTCGCCACGTTCGCCGGAGTCAAGGCGGTCGTTGAGTTCCCCGGAGTCAACGCAGTCTCCGCGAGACGCAAAATCGTGGAGCGGTTCCGACGATAACGCGTCCAGGACGAGCCGGTCAAGTCGGTCAAGCCGGTCAAGCCGGTCGCCGGATTCGTGCAGGAAGCAGTCGCGGAACCGGTCGCAGAATAGGCCGGCGAGGAAGGGGGATGCGAGCAGGGGCGGCGACGGCGCGAGGCGGCAGCAGCGGGATAGTCCCAGACGCGGCGGGTACGAGCGAGAAAGGGAACGAGAGAGGGATCATGGTTCTCGTCGTGACGAGGGAGCGAGGGAGCGACTCAGTCCGCTGAAACAACCGGCGACTCAGCAGCAGCCGTCGCACGCAGCTTCGCACCCCGAAAGGCATCACCCGCACCAGCAGCAGCAATATGAGCAGCAGCTTCAGCAGCAGCAGCAGGTGCGCGTTCCGCCCAACAGTTACCGTCGCTCTCAGTCCGCCGGCCGGTCCGAACTTCGAGATTACCGAGAACCTAACCGAAACGGGGAGCCTAGTAACGAGTACGCAGATACGTATGTGACCCGCAGCAGGACACGGGCGTCCGCTGCGTCAGTGGACTATTCGCAGAGAGTGCCAGCGGGACACTACGCCGCGGAGCACGAGCAGGAGCGCCACCAGCACCGCCAACTGCGCATCAGCGCACCCCCACCTCCGCACCATAAGCGCTACGCTTCCGCCGCCGCCGTCCCCGCGAAGAATCGCTCCGTTAGTCTTTCCGCGGCGTCGTTAGACCAGGCAGCCGCCGCGATCGCCGGCGCCTCTGTCGGCAACGAGCCCGCGGAGCCAATGCATGGTAGCAACGCCGCGTACGCCGGTACTGGCGGCGGGAACTGCGGGGCGCGGTTGCCCGCGGGGAACGCTGCGGGTGGGCGGCTGGCTTCCAACCAGGCGCGGTCAATGCGCAAGTGCATCAGCGGGGATCGCGCTACTATGGGGAGCGGTTCGATAGATCTAGACAGGTGCAAGCAGGGAGGGCCGGGGATTGCCCCTCGTGGTGCTGCTGGTGCTGCAGGGGGGTGTAACGCGCCGCGGCCTAGTGGTAACCAGCCGGGTAACCAGCAATGCGCACAGCCTGTGAGGCAGAACGTTCGTCCATCTGTGATTGCACGAAGCATGAGCGTTCCAGACGAAGAGCTGGAGCGAATCCCACAAGGTGGTTACCAGCAGCAGCACGGTCCCAGCCACGGGCAGGGGTATATCCACGGGCAGATGAACGGGCAGCCGGATTATGCTTATCGCCAGCCCGGACCAGGGAAACTTCAAATGAAAGCTCTCCGCCGTGCACAGTCCGGACGTCTCAACCCTAGTAACGGAGCTGCTAATAACGGATCACCTTCCACCAGCAGCAGCAGCCGAACCGCAATGCCACGGTCCATGTCAGCTAAAGCACCTTCGCCCACCCCGCCCTACCTCCCAAACGGAGTAATCGATCTATACCCTGTAGAGCCCTTGTCCCCCACAGAGATTCAGACTCCTGTCGGCGCCCCCCCTGCTAGGAGAGACTTCCCCTCCCTGCCCATGCTAGACATCCCCTGGTGCTCTGCTGATAGCCCCCGCTCCCCCCCCAAACCCATCAATGTCGGCCCGCCTCTCCGAAGCTGCAGCTTAGGCCCCGCATCCGGAGCAGCGCAGCAGGTGCGGGCTGGGGGACGGATCGGGATGAAGGCAGGGCAGGGCATGGGGGCTGGTGGGGATGGTGGTGGGGGGAGGGGAGGGGGAGTGGTTGAGAGGAGTATGAGCGTTGAGAGGCGGGTGAAGGCGCAGGCTGCCAGGAATGCAGTGCGTGTGGTGGAGCTAGGTGGGCCTACAGAGGGGTTGCCTGCACCACATGCTGTGGCGGTAACAGCAGCAGGAGCACTAGCAGGGACAGGTGGGGCAGCAGGGGAGATGGGTGCAGTGGCAGTGGCAGGGCATGGAAAGAAGGGCCACTTGAGAGGATTCTTTGCAAGCTGGGGCGGGCACTAGGCTGGGAGCCGTGTGCTGTGCAGGCACTCTGTTCAGTGGCTGCACAGCACAGCACTGTGCGCATGGTACTGCGTGCACAGCATTGGGCGTATTGCATTGGGCACATACGCGATCTTTCCATTTGATTTGTTGTGGGTAGTGGTACGGTATTAGCATCAGGCCCTTGCGTAGGGGATTCACATGCTTTATTATAGATATGCTACCGTATGTAGAATATAGTGGTCATGTTTTATTAATTTGATTCACATTTCTAACATTGCTGGATATGCAGGTCGCATGGGGTTTGTCCATTCAACAGAATAGCTACACCTGGTGGCATCCCCTCTACTTGCCGACGTACACCCTTTGTGCTGCCCTTGCAGGCAGCACAGGGGACTTGGCAGCGCTGCTTTTCCCCACTGCAGCCTTGAGTTTGTTTCCACTCTTGGTGCGCTGCAGCCGTGCTTTAGATGCACCTGCCTCCACCGCTGCTGTTGACGCTCCTGTTGCTGCTGCAGAGACAGTGCTGCTACTCCTGGCAAGCGCTGCTGCAGCCCCTCCTCTTCCAGTCCCTTCGCCAGCACCAGCACCACTGCCACCACCCTTCCCCACTTTCTCCTGTACCCCCACCGCAGAGGCTGTTCGCATGAGCTTGGAGGTGGAGCGCACGAGAGAAGCAGAGCGAGTGTACGCAGCAGTGCCGCTGTTGCTGTTGCTGTTGCTGTTGCCGACAGGAATGGCACTGCTGCTGCTTGCTGCTGCGTTGTTCGAGCTGGCTCGGGCGGCATTGTTCGGACTGTCCTTCACCAGCAGCTGCTGCAGCTTCTGCTGCTGCTGCTGCCGTTTCCTCTGTTGCTCTGCCTGCAGCAACCTCCCCGTGGTGTAGCCTACCCCACCACCACCTTCCCTTCCCCCACCTTTGCCTCTGCCACCCCCACCCTGACCACTCCCACCCTCACCACTCCCACTGCCACCCCCCTTCTCACCCTTAGGTGTCTTTACCGGGACCCGTGGCAGGGTGGAGGCAGAGAGGAGGTCATTCATGCGGCGAGAGGGCGGAGAGAGGGACGACGCCAGGCGAGCGCGAGAGGGGGACTTGCTCAGTGCAGCCTTGCTCCCTGTCTCTGCACCACCACCAGCGCCACCAGCACCTGCCAAATTACCACTCGCCTTCTTGCCAGTGCCACCTGTGCTTTTGGTGCTGCTCGCGCTCCTGCCAGCACCTTTACCCACATTTCTCGGCAGCTCCACTTGCAGACCCCGCACGGGCTGGCCCCCACCTCTGCCTGCTGCAGGCACCGCTTGCGTTGCTGCCCCCATGCTGACAGAGCGAGCAAAGGCCCCCGTGGGAGAGAGGCCAGGCACTTCCACCTGCAGACCCCGCACGGCCTGACCCCCACCGCTGCCTGCTGCATTCACCGCTCTGGTTGCTGCCCCCGTGCTGACTGAACGAGCAAAGGCCCCCGTGGGAGAGAGGCCAGGCACTTGCTTGCCGTGGGTTGCACCGCCCTGCACTGCCCCCGCTGCAATAGCAGCAGCCGGAAAAGGAGAGGAAGCGGCAGCAGCAGTGGAATACGGAGAGGTAACAGCAGCAGCAGCGCCATAAGGGGAGGCAGCAGGCTGCATGGAGGCTGTGCGGGCCAGTCGAGCTGCTCCTGCCCCCATGCTTGCAGCATGTGCAAAAGCGCTAGTTGGGGAGTTTCCGGGAAGATACTGGGCTTGTGGTGCAGCTGCATTCAGTGCCCCAGTAGCAACAGCAGCAGCAGCACCAGAGGATGCAGCAGGCTGCATGGAGGTGGTGCGGGCCAGTCGAGCTGCTGCTGCTGCCCCGGTGATTGCAGCATGTGTGAACGCACCAGTTGGAGAGTTTTTGGGGAAGTATTGCGCTTGTGGAGGGGTGGCATTCAGTGCCCCAGCAACAGCAGTAGCAGCAGCCGAGGAGGCAGCAGGCTGCATTGAAGTTGTGCGGGCCAGACGAGCTGCTGCTGCCCCGGTGCTTGCAAACGCGCTGGTGGGGGAGTTGCGGGGGAAGTGCTGGGCTTGTGGTGCAGCTGCATTCAGTACCCCAGCGGCAGCAGCCGCAGCAGCAGCAGAGGAAGAGGCAGCAGAGGAGGCAGCAGGCTGCATGGAGAGTGCTCGGGCCAGTCGAGATGTGGGAGACACCGAAACTTGTGCTGCCTGCTTCTGCTGCTGCTGGGTCTCTGTTTGCTGCTGCCACTGCTGATGTTGCTGGTGCCACTGCTGCTGTTGCTGCTGCTGTTGCTGCTGCCACTGCTGCTGCTGCTGCTGCTGCCACTGCTGCTGCTGTTCTTGCTGCCAGTTGTGCTGCAACCAAGCATGCTGTCCTATCTGCGCTGTCTCATGCCCCTCGTGCAACGAAGGCAGGGCGTGTGGAGAGAGGGACGATACTGGCACACCGTGACGGTTCGAATGCCCTTGAAAAGTGCTAGGGCTACTGCTGTTGGTGTGGGGGCTGACACTGGTGTGCGTGTTGAAGTTGCTGGGGGGGCTATTCATGTGTTGCGGGCTGCTAAAAGCATGCGGACTAACGTTGCTGTGCGGACTGGTGTGCGTGTGAGGGCTGCTGTGCTCGTGTGGGCTGCGGTTGTGCGGGCTGAGAATGCCATGGGAGTGCAAGGCAGCACCGTCGTACTGCCTCACTCCCACGCCCTGTGCTGGGTCACTGAAACCCACTCCCACCGCCTCGCTCTGCTGCCTCCCTGCTCCTCCCAGTGGGCTCCGCCCCCCCACATGCCACGTGCTGCTCGCCACACCACCGGGCCCTGCCAAGCCACTCGCCCCGTCTCCATGCATCGCCATGCGCACCCCTGCTGCACCCACCCCTGCAGTATGCGACTCATCTCCACCGCTGCTGCCCCTGCTGCCGCTGAGCGTGTGGCTGAATAGCTCCTCCCCGGACTCGCACTCGCTCCCCTGTGTGCGCTGCACATGCACGTAGATGTCACATGCACCGCCAGCAGCAGCAGCAGCACCATTATCAAAGCCAGAACCAGCGCTCATGTCATCACCACCATCACCACCATCACGAGCGCATTCCGCCAGGTACCGAGCCACTGCTGCTGCCCCGCCCGGCACGCCCCCCTCGCCGCCCTGCACCTCGCTACTAGCATCCTCGCTAGGTAAGTCGAAGTCGTCACCGCTTACGTCATCGGCGAGGTAGGATGAGTCAGCATCGACTTCCACGTCCAATGAGAGGCGCACCCGCTGCCGGAAGCCCTGCAGGGCGGCATGCGACAGGGCGGCATGTGGCAGGGCGGCATGCGACAGGGCGGCAGCATGCGGGAGGGTAGGATGAGACAGGCTAGGATGGGGCAGGCCGCCATGGCGCCCCACTCTGTGGCTGCCCTCTGCTGCCGCCGTGCCTTCTCTGCCCGCTGCCGCCTCGTCCAATTCTGCCGTGTCACCGCCGTGTGCTGACGTGGCGTCGTACAGATCCTCAGAGCCAGGGTACTCCTCTGCTGCGCGCTCTCCCACGTGGCACAACTGCTGATAGAGCGTGCTCAAACATGGGGACTCCTCCGCACACGACTCTAGGGAGCGTGGAGGTGAAGCCACCAGCGCACTCCCATCCCCTGCACTCCCTGCTTCCCGCCCTCCTTCCTGCTCCTCCTCCTCCTCCTTCCCCCGCTCCCCCTGACCTCTCTCCCCCTCGCTCCCATCGCTCACCTCCTCCCACACCCTTCCCTCCTCCGCCCCCCACTCGCCCTGCTGCATGTGCATGTGCATTTCCCCCTCCCACCCCCCATACGCATCCCCATCTCCGCCCAACCCTCCCCCGTCCTCCCCTCCCTCTCCGCGCTCCTCCTCATCCCCCTCATCTAATCTCCGCTCGTCGCCCGCGTTACCGCCCCAGTCGTCCCCCCACACCTGTTCCTCCCCCTCCCCCGCGTCACTGTCGCCACACTCACCGTACAAATCCTCCCCCTCGCCATCCTCTCCCCCGCTTACTCCCCCCCCCGCCGCACTCCCCTCGCCTCCGAGCAGGCCCCCCTCTTCCCGCTCCGCCGCGCGCAATTCCCCCTCCCCGTCGCTGTCGCCACCGCCATACATATCCTCGTTATTATCCGCCTCGTCATTCTGCTCCGCGTCCTCCGCATCCTCCTCCCCGTCCTCCTCGTCACCGTACAAGTCCCCCTCGCCTTCCGCCACTCCGCCACTCGCACTGCCCTCCTCCCCGCCGCCGCAACCGCCGCCTCTCACATTCTCCTCGTCTTCCGCCGATAATCCCTGCCCGTCTGCTTTCCACTCTCCTGTTCCCACATAATGGGGAGAATCTTCATTCCCGATAAAACACTCCTCGCTATCGCCACGCCTACCGTAAAGGCTATCAGTCCTGGCCGATGCATCCACGCCGTACAGGTCTGATTCTCCCTCGTCCCGCTCCGCCGAATTCTCCGCCGCGCTCGGCGGGGAATCACGGCGAGAACGCGGAGAAGCGGCAGCGGCGGAAGCCACGACCTTGCGTGCCACCCGTGCTAGCTCTTCTCGCGGGCCACCCGCGCGCGCCACCCGCGTTAGGTCTTCTTCCGCACCGGCAACACTCCCGACATGCCAGAAATCCTCCCATACGTTGGCTTCGGATTCAAGGCGCGGGGACATGGGTGACAGCGTATCGCCGTTGGCCGCGTGGCAGCTCTGCTTCGG